AAAATATATTTATTTTTAATAAAAAGTTTTTTGGGGGGGTTTAATAAACAGTAGTATTTTGAAAATTATTTTGGTCTGAATTTTGCAATTCCTTTTTTCAATTCATCAATTCTTCCAATAAGTTTTCCATAAAATGTATACCATTAGGTTTACTTTGAATAACATTGTGACAGAGAATCATGGAAATCGCAAAAAGGGAAATCTACAATATCATTAAATTGCAGGTGTCATTAGAATATGAATTAATACATACTAAATCTTGTCCACTTGAAGCATTAGAACGAGATTGGATTAGATGGGTAGATTGACAATCCCAAATCTACTCCCAAAGAATTCACATCTTTACAATTATAACAGTCCAGGTCCAGGCTGTAAGACACACTTATGTACAAATTCCTTTCCTGCAATACTGTACCATTTGTTCCCTTCCATCACTGATGTTCTAACATCAGCATTAAATCATGTATTCTGTGCCGTTTACAAACATGAACCAATCAGCCAATTCTAAAGAAGCATTGTTCTGATGCAACCTGTCTGTCAAAAACTTCCCTATATATTTACTTTCCAGCTCACTAAAACAGATAAAGGCCTATCCTCTTTGGTCCTCCACAGATCTGTACAAACACTCCACCAAAACAACACTCTACAAGTAACAAATAGCTTTTGTCAAACTTAAACTGAAGGCCATTCTCTGTACTTCTTTGACCCAGATGACCATTCAAATGGCCAAGTGAGACTTGCTTCTAGTGCAAAATCCAGTTAGATATGTATTAATGGTACAGTAACTTGGTTTCCTCTTTAGTGGTCAATATTAGCATATAAAATGGTAAGATGATTGTGAGGTCAATCACGTAAATGGGGTGCATAATGACTTCTGACTTAACACTGACTTGAAATTATAACCTTGTACATTTTAATATAAGGACTAAGTCAGGAAAAGGCAGATATCTTTCTGGTTATAAAGTACCATATAAGTGTACATACTAACACCTCATCCATTCTTTATTTAACATGTACGTTTCACTTCCCCCAAACTGTACATTTTCAGCTAAAACCTAAGCTTAGCACTTACAAACGTGTGATTGTGCATTGTAAAAATAATATGCTCATTTTAAACTCTCTGTAAAAGAAGGAAAACCTCTTAATCCCTTTGATGTCATTCAAAAGACCCTTTTAAAATAAATACCAAGGCTTTCTACATCCTTGACACCTTTAAATCCGGCAAAAAATTTTTTTCCACTAAACCTTATTAATTCCATAACTTACAAGTCTGGAAAATATCACCGGTCAAACGTAGTACAATGAGTTCTCTGCTTTACTTTGTAAGGTGTGAATGAACCTAAATAGAACTGTCATTTGCATTTAAGGTCCAAGACTTTGGTCTACTTTTGGTCTACAGAATTATTTTCATCTGCTTCTAGCAAGCCTTTATTTCAAACTATAATTGGAATTTATATAAATTCTTGAGCAATCAAATAAAAATGAGTGTAGTAAGACTGAGAAAAAAGTTATGATTTAAATATTTGCATTGTCATACACGGTGATACTTCCTTGTTGATTTATGAAAATGTAAAACATTATCCACTAACAAATTTATACTGGAAACTGAGGTGTTGAAGGAACACCCTAGGCACCATAAGCACTATAGTGGTTATAGTGCCTGGGAATGCCCTGGTGACCCCCCATTGCTAGTTGTCAAACCATTTAAGATCACTTTGACCTCCTCAACAAGAAACAATAAAGGAGACACATAGACTAAATATAAATGTGTGCTCTTTGTCAGGTGTATTTCACTAGGTATATACTGGGCTTGACCCACAACTATTCAACCATAAAATGAAGGTCAAAGGAACACCATAGTGTCAGGAATAAAGACGTATTCCTGACACTCTAGCTCTAAGATTGCCATTGTCCCCATCTCCCCTGTCAGAAGTTTAAAATGTGCTCCTTGTGGGCCTGATTGTGTCTGGCTCCATCCCTTCTACACTCCTTGGACTGAGATGATCAAACTTGATGATCTTAGCCAATTCAATGCTTACTCCTCATAGAAATGCATTTAATCAATGCATCTTTATGGGGAAAGTTCAGCGTCTCCACACAAGGAGTGATAATGCAGAATGTCATTGTGCAGCACTTGAATATAAAGAAATCCAGGCACTCCAGCAAATTCCAAAGTAAAGGCAATTTTTATTGGAACAAGGAACTCAAAAGCAAAGTTTCGACCCCTTAGGGCCTTTGTCAAGCACTGACCCAGAAAGCATCTCTAGTGGCCACTAGTAACTGCCACTAGAGGAATTGCTAGGCAGTAATATAAACTCGGCCTTATCTATGAAACAACTTAAGCCGTAGTTATTCTGGTGACTATAGTGTCCCTTGAAGCTATGGACCATTGAGCCTCCCAACCTAGTGAGTTTATTTCTCTTCCAAAATGATTACCTGAAGTAGGAATGTTTACAAATTATATACAAAGTAACTCGAGTGGCTGAAGAAATTCCTGTTAACTGTACATAATGCTGGATAGATTAATTAAATTAAAAATAAAAGTACCCCAATGCAGCTTTATTGTTGTGAGTGCCAACAGGGACATTACTAAATAAACAAAATAACTTGATTTGCTGTCAAGGTAAAACCATAAAGAAAAAAGCTCAACAATATTCTTTGTGACAGACTGAGAAATAGTGAACTTGAGGTGAGTTTGTGTCTGTTATACAGCTCTGATTACTTAAAAAGCATCTAACTACCAATAATTACAGAGAAGATAGAAAGGTTTAGACAGATATAGCGAGGAATAGGCTAAGCTCCATGAAGACAAAAACAAGCACTGCTGTGAGCTCCTAATGGCTGATGATAGGGGCAATACATGCACAGTAAGATAGATAAGATTGCTCCAAAGAGGAAATGGTAATAAAACAGCAGATGGACAACTGAACAAGCAAACTTCACTATAAGTGGACTTGCACTACAATCAACTGGACTTGCACTACAGGGTATAGTTCAGGAGAGCTAATAGAACATGCTGCTTAGGAGCTTCTGGCTCACCATGGATGTGGGGAGCAGCACCCGGTGGACCTCGGGGAACATTTCAAACTGTTTTAAAATGGTGGACTACATGCAATGGGCAGTGGGGGCAGCCAGGGCATTCCTGGAACCATAACCAGTATGGTGTGCTGTAGTGGTATGATGCTTGGTGTGTCCCTTTAAGGTATGCAATCAAGTTTTTAAAATTCACTGACTTTTTGAAGACTCATACAGAAGCCTCTATTTTTTCTCGTGTTCTTTTCTGAAACAAATGTCATGTCGAAACTGGATAAAAGCATCATTGTGTTTTAATTGTACTTTATAACATCTTCTTTACACAAGAAATGATATGCGTTATAGTTCTATAAAATGAAGCTGCAATAAATAAACATATTTTTATTTAAATCAAATATCATTTTATAGTATTTTCATTTTATGTAAGATTTTAATAAAAATTATTTATAAAATTTAAAAATAAATTAAAAAGGATAAGGGAGTTGAGATGTTTTCAAATGTGTTCATGTTAAATGTTAATGCGTTTAGTCAGTTCCATTCATGTTTTGTTAAAAGACTTGAATGCTGTATTTATATATGTCGATAACTTTGCATTGTCCTATTTTTTTTTTTTCATAGCATGAGCAATGAGAAAAGATATCTCAGAAGTTACAAGGGATCATATTCAGTAATACAATGTCTGTTTGCAAAGGTGTATTACAATTTATGCCTCCTTTACTATACTGAATACAACCTTCCAAACTGGTTTAATCACTGAGAATGTCTTCTATGAATGAACAATTCCTTGTAGTATTCCATATAGTCTCTAACAACCATCTTCAGAGGTATTCACTAAAGTATGAATTGTTGGCAAATCAAAGTGCATTTCAGATTTTATGCTAAAGTAGCCAGACTCAAAACACAGCTCACTTGGACAATTTTGTTGTCCTAAAATGTATAATTCACACTATCTTCCCACCAAGTTCCCACGTTATCTTTCCACCACCTTTAATGAATAATCATGATCCTCTATATCAGTGGTTCCGAACCTACTCCTCAAGTACCCCCCTAGCAGTCTGGGATTTAAGAATCACGCAGTTGCGTTTAAGGTATTTATAGAAGGGGAAAAAGCACTTTAGAAGCAACAGGGTAATCCCAAAATCCTGGACTGATAGGGGGGTACTTGAGGACTGGGTTGGGAACCCCTGCACTATATGGAAAGTCCATTTTTTCTATAACCATAGTATCTATGTATTCTGTACATTGTGACATTCTTTTTGAGAGTCAGAGTGCGCCCTGTTCCACCCTTCTGTTGATTTTTTTATAATTATTTTTAAGATTTCTGATGAAATTTTTACATCTATGGACATTTTCTAGCATTTGAATAACATGAGTTTATGGAAGCAGATTTAAAAAATGTTACTAGTAGAAAAATCAAGAAGCCTATTTCAAGTCTACTGGTCTACACTTTCCTTTTGATTAAAAAGTCAACGATGTGTATTGATTTCACTCGATTTTAAGAGTGTCAATCATCAGTAAGTCATAATGTAGACATAATAATAAACAATATAATCTTTATTATAAGCATGCACTCATGAAAGAGTAAGCTCACTGAATGCTGTGGTAATCAGTTGCATGCCACCAATGATACATAATGATGTATGAATATACACAAAAAATGTGGAATATATGGCGCTCTGTGTTATAAATAGAAAGAAATCTGGTACAGCTGCTGTATACACTCTGTGGGTACTCCTAATTACCCACCACACATAAACAATCACCAAAACACAAAGAAACTTTTTGATTTGGGTGATGTTACCACCATCCGAATCTAAAGTACTTAAAGTGAGTGCAGCGCTATATAAGTGCTTAGGTAAGTGTGTTCACTATATTTTGGAACTCTTACCCTTTTCGTTTATCTCCAAGGACAGGTCTAGGGCTAAGCCCCGGAACCGAAACCAGACCCAGAAAGAAAGCCAGGCCTAAGCAGACATTTACACGAGTCGCCACGTGACGTTGCTAAGCTGCCTAGCAACGTCACGTGGCGACTCGTGTAAATGTCTGCTTAGGCCTGGCTTACATAATGATGTATGTCTTTTTAAAAGTCATTGTGTATTTTCCAGTTCTATTAGAAGCATAGGGCAAGAGGGTGATGGCTCCAGTTTTAAAAAGGTTTATCGTGGGTACTTGTTACTTCACACAAGCATGATTATGGCCTTGTTAAAGATCGGTAGATTATTGTACTATTATTTCTTACTGTATTCAGTATGGTTCTATTATATGCCTAGGTCAGGTTATCCCTAGTATAAAAACCCTTTCATCCCTTGTGTTTTGATTTTTTTCCACCATTCATACATCAATACAATATAAGAGTCAAATGTGGTTAAGTGACTAATCGATTAAGATTGCATTTTTTCCTTTCCAGTCCAAAATCAGAAGGGCGTATAGCTCTTTACAATATACCTTGGTTCCAGATTCTTCTTTCTTGCCATTGGCTGCCGTGTATCCCCTGGTCATAGTTTACATTCCTCATCATGTTTCATAATAATGAGAAAGAAAAGTCTCCATTTTCCTCCATAAAAGTCTGGAGATATAATGAGGAATCGGGATTGTCTGTTAATAAAACACACACCTTTAGTATACAATATACTGTAATGAAGAATGCTTGCAACCAGTATTGCCCTAATCTATACTGATATCAAGAGGTTAATGCATACATTCACTGCTTGAGTAAATGCCAGAAACAATTGGTCTGCTCAACGGGTTTTTCAAGTGTCTGTGGAACATAAGAAGATGGTAGAATGTTAAGATAATAGGGATATCACCATACAAAAACATTGCCTCCCTCTCATTCAGCACTTTCCTGACAGCATCAGTTCATTGAGCGGTTCATATAGCAATCATACATAGGTTATTAGTCATTGAGTAGACACAATGATTAAATCAGAAATTCAATAAATGCTCAAGGACAATATTTTATTAGATTTGAAAGATGCAAATGATTTTGTATAAAAGTTAGACATTTTAAAATTAAAAACTCTCTTGTATCTAAGTTGGATTCCAACTCAAACATACTATTAAAAAACAAAAAAACTATCAAGCAAGACTACAACATCAACAGTTTGCAATATTTTACTTTTTATCAAAAATTTATTTTATTTTTTCTATATGAAGGTAAATTGAATATGGAAATATTGCACTGAATTGAAAAAAAAATCACGATAAATCAGGGCCAAAAAACTCAGTAAAGCATTTATTAATTACCAATAGATCAATACATATTCTTGCTGCAAGAACCTAAACATAGTGTCAGGGGGTCTACAATACCCACGATACGTGCATCACTATATACTCTATCTCCCTGAATATGTGTGGGCAAGAGAAGTTTCTTCTTTAACCTATAATAAAAAATAAGCTAACTAACATAATGCGTAGACATACGTAAATATAAAAATACATATAAAGTAAATATGCAGTGCCCAACAATTCTTCATTTCTGACAAAAGATACTTGTATTAGTGATGAGAAATTCCCTAAGGTGCAAGAAAAAGTATCTTGCAGGTGTCATAAGATTTGTGCATTTTCAAGCTTGCTCGTTTTGTGTAATGAATGTCATATAGTAAAAAAATATATAGTATAGTACTGTATGTGATTTCTACAGATACAAATATTATTCAACCGCTTTAAATTTGTGAGATGTTATTAATCAGATTAATGTACATATTAGAATAAAAGAAAAAAATAATTATTCAGATGATTCTGTAGTTACAAATATAATATAAATATTGAAAAAAATTAAAACTCACTGAGTTTGTTCAATCTCCTTGTGACATCTCTTAAGTGACCAAAGTTGTTTTTCTGTCTGTTTTAGGGTAAGAGTATTGTGGTCATTGTGGTCATCTCTATTGAGTCACAATAAAAAAAATCCTCTTAAGTTTGTATAAAAATTCCAAATGTTGGTGCAATAAAAGGAGTATTATAAATAATACCCATTTGGGAGATTAGAAGAAAATGCTGTTATGATCTGAGTTTTTACTGAACTGTAATGATTATGTTGCCTATAGCACCCCTTTAAATTCCAATCAAGATTTTTTCTAAATCCTCTTGACCAAACTTGAAAGATAAGCACATTAAAGAGACACTCCACTGCCCAAATTATAAGAAGAAGAAAATAAAAACCCTACCGCCGATGAAAACATGTATGCATTTAAAGGACTACGCTAACACTTTATTTTTTTCTTTGATTTTTGGCGTTTGAAGTGTTAGTTTAAGAATGACTTTTACTTTTTATTTTAACTCAATTTGTCATACCAATATTTGATTTAAAAATTGCAACCAGGAGTATAGTTAAAATTTTTGATTATCTCCAAATTATTGATGGGATTTTTAAAATAAATTGTTAATATGATTTTTTTTTAATTCCTTGGCTTGCAGGTTTACAAATTCAAGCCATCTGAGCAATCAACATATTTTAAAATTAATTAGGGATGTCCCAGCATGCTGCTTGTTTACAGCACTTTGCAAAATGACTGCACAGATATTTATTTAGAGGGCAAGCATGACAAACACATCAAATGTCATTATACAATAAAACATAATATTTTAGGGAACTCTTATCAATAGATACAACTATCAAAATATCTTTACAGTTTATTGTTTGTGTTGTTTTCTTAAACTTTACAAGCAGATGCAATAGTTTATCTTTAAATGGGTTTACAAGGGCAAATATTCAATTCTCATAAAAAAACCTATTTTAGGTCTCTCTAGTGCCTTGTATTCTGCATAACTATCTAACTGATATAAAGGTGATACACAGGGTATGAAAGACAAGACAACATAAAATAAAAGACAAATTAATAGCTGATATTGACCTAGGTTTAGAAAGTCACATCTATTGGTCTAACAAACAATGATAAACATAAAAATCCAATATGAAGTTCAAGTCTATACTTATTCTTTTTATTTTACAAAACACCATGGGCTGGTTTATAAAAAAAAATGTAATTATATCAGTACAGCTCTTTCGGCCCTAACAAATTATAAATTGGGCAACATATTGCTTTGTTAAAACCTTATTTGTGAAGAGTTTGGATGTTTAACTCCTGCACCACTGGGCAATTTGTGTTTGAGAAAATATTAGAATAACATTGATTTGAAACATATTGAGGACATAAACATATAATGAAAAAATAATATGTACAGATTTCTCTTCAAAAACATTTTCAGGGGTGTGGCCAGAACTTGCACAGGATGGAGGTGTAATGGAGTAGCTCTGCCAGAGAAGGCTCGTAAAGCAATAAAATACAATGTCTTATCTATCGAAAATTTGCAGAAACTTATCCCACAACTTACCACATTTTCTGCAGTCCGACAACCACAGGGCAAGCAGATAACACAAGGGATATTACATTCTTACCTGGACACTATGTCCAATGCAAAATGCAATGGGAGAGATCCACAGACATCTACAAGACCTCAGTACCCGCACATCATACATGGAATCCAAACTGTAGGAATTCACAAACGCCCAGAGATCGGGCGGAACAGCTAGACGCCTTGTTAGAAAAATGTGAAGTCAAGATCATGGATCCGGAGGAAAGATCCTAAAGAAATAACCTCCATCTAAGAGTCATTCCTTTAAACATAGAGCCAGCCGTACAAATGACTTACCTGCATGGTCTTTTTCAAGCCTTGGCTCCCGATGTACCAGCAGATATGTTACTGGTCGACTGGGCACACAGAGTTACTAAACTGAAACATCTGCCCAACTCTGTGCCTAGAGATGTATTAGCCCTTTAATATTTTTATATAAAGGAAATATTTCTCTCTCACAGTATGGCTTAAGAGCACTTACCCGATAATTACAAAGAATGTTACAGTATTCGTGGACCAATCTGCAGAGACCCTACTCTGGTACCGAGCCTTTAAGGAAACCACATGGACACTCCGGAATCATCAAGTCCCACATCTCTGTGGCTTTCCAGCAAACCCCTGGTGTCCAGAAATGATTCATCTGTGCCCTTCTCCTCTCTGGCAGAAGGAACTCACCTGCTCCGCTCATGAAGTTACCTGCAGATGTCACCTGCAAAGAGTTCAGCAAAGAGCTTAGACCTGCACCTTGAGTGGAAACAAGCCTACACCTAGATTGCTGTTCTGAAGGGTGAATTAGCCTAGCTTAATTGAGCCCATGCTGCTTCTCTGTTTCTTATTTTACTGCTGTAATAATGTGTTTTCCTTAGTTTGTCAAGTAGAAGTAAGGTGCTCTGGGAGGTGTCCCACATTCTGACAATTTGTTATGGTGCTCCCATGTGCATCTTAGCCCTGGATTTCATTCATCTGGTGAAATCTCAGATGACAGGGGGTATGCAGCAGGTACAACACACATCACCTTTGATATACTGTGCAGCAAGAGAGTATGTTGGTCTATAGGATGTCAACTGTATAAGAGGGGGGAAAAATGATACATTTTACTATACAAAAGAAACCTGCATATGATAGATGTTGAGGCACATACCTCTCCACTTACCACTCACAATATATACAACTTGAGAGATACAACTTGGCTCCTTTCATTAGAAGACAACCAAGGTTACGTTTATGTTCTTCTTATTTGCTCAATGTATGGGTTGGTTGCACTTCATTGAAAACAGAGACCTAACAGTTGAAAGATGCCCAGAGCCGAAATGGTGGCAAGGTTTAGGTTACTATAATTTCCCTTATGCAAGCCTGCCTCTAACCCCCCAAGAGTATCAATGAGTTGCTTTAATTCCCTTTCATTTTCTATATCATTCCTGTAGTCGCTTCAGTTATAGATTATTGAACATAGGGAAGGAATTTTTTCCTAGTTTGCTGCAAAATTTAAAAAGCACTTCAGACTAGGGTTTTTTTGCCTTCTTTTGGATCACCAGCAAAAACATATGTGAGGAAGGCTGAACTTGATGGACGCAAGTCTCTTTTCAGCTATGTAACTATGTAACGTTATACCCAACACACAAAATGTAAATCCATCAGTAAAATACAGACAGAGAAAGGTCTCTATGCCAGTCCTTAGAGTGGCCAGATAGAAAG